CTACGGCAGGGGGGTTGGACTAGATGACCCACAGAGGTCCCTTCCAACCCCTACTATTCTATGATTCTGTGATTCTGTGATTCATGTCATGGAGCAACCGGCATTTCCTTAAACGCCCATGTCACGTACTTCTAGGCAGACGTAGTATTCCTTGGAAACAGCCAGCCATGCCTACTTGCTAATACTCAGCCATAGTGTCACCCTTGTCTGTAAATTAGCTGAGGGAGACAGGACTAGTATATTTCACAAATAGCAAGTACTGTATTTCTTAAAGTCAAATAATTTCCTGTTTATGATTAGGAATTGCGAATGCAAGTTGCACTTGCTAAGCATTTCAGCTTACCTAGGTTTGCTACTCTGGAATACAAACCACGAGAAAGGTCAGCCAGAACTTCTTCATAAACACGCACACTGTGCTTTGTGGGTGTTTTTAAGAAAGCAGGAGACGCTATTTGTGCATGAAAGTAAAGTACCACAGATACTCAGTGCTGTAACTCCAGTGCACAGCAGGTTTTTTTACAAGTTTTTAAAATGTTGCTAAAAGTTTCTTGCTAAGCTTGACTGCATAGCAGAAACCATGGGGATTACCCAAACTTAATGTATACAGAACATTGTACTGCCATCACACAATTGTGTATACTGTAACTCTGTGTGTCAGTCATTCACTCCAGAAACTTTAAACACAAAGAAAGAAGTGGAGAAAGTAGCAACCTAACACTTTCAAAACCCAAATAGCATTAATGGGAGACTTCCAGCTTGAAAGTGATGCTACTGTCTGGACATACTTACCTGGCATAATTATGAGCCTCTAAATAAGTGAACAGGACTTTACCTGTGCTTTGCATGCCAGCAGCTTTACAAATAGTCAGTTTAAAAGATCTTTGCCACGGGCATTGCATAAATAATTTTATATACATAAATATATATGTATACATATTATCTATGTGTGTGTGTACAAATGCATGTTAAACAAAAGCCCTAAGAAGATTTTAAAAACCCATAGCATACTTCAGAAGTTATTTTCTAGGATAAACTATATTTTTAATTAATCACTTCAGAAATTGAAGCTGTCAGTGACCTTTTAAAATGACTATACATATACAGCAAACTGTTAGACGAATATTGATTTTTTTCCCCCTCCACTGCAAGCAAAGTTTGGAGAATTAAATATCTTTCATACTGAGAGATTATTATTAAGCTTGAATTTTGTTTCTTACAAGCTTATAATCAGGCCTTTTGATCATGAGCTTTTTTTTAGTTGTTAAGTCCAAGTAACCAAGCAACTATGTGCAGAAGTTAACCTTTTCATTAACCTTTTTATTATATTATATACTGTAGTAGTAAAGTTTGTTTGAAGTGCATGAATAAAAAGTTAGTGAAATTACAGGAGGAACAATCTAATATAGCAATAATAAGTGCATTCACTGTGGATCTGAGAGGAGGAGGGGGAAAAAAGAAGAGTTTTCACTCATTTTGGCCTAAAATGTGTTCAGGTTTCTAGGATTCTGACATCAGAACCCAGATAACACTGGTTAGAACCATAGGGCTTTACAATAAAAGCTAAAATATTGACCATATGATGGCAAAAAGTCTTTATTTTGTGGTTAACTTATTCTCTTCTAGCTACTCTCTGATGAAGTTGGTGGTGCTGTGGAGGATGATCTCCTTCTTCTTGACAAAGACCGTGATCGTTCAGCACTGTAGGCAACATGCTTGTCATAATTTTGTATCTGAGCCTCGAGGAAGTCCCTCTGTTGCTGGCTGATTGTCTGGCTAATCAGTCCAGGGAGAGCTTGAATGCTACCAATCAAAGTTTCCAGTTTAGTTTCCAGAGTAACAATTCTCTTCTCAAAATCTTCGCTTCTTTCATTTAAGTCGGAAATCATGTCATACATGATGTTTTGAGTCTGAAAGTAGAAGGATGTAAACAAAGATTTATTACAGAGATCTTACAAGCATTGTAACAAACAGCACACCTCTACAACACTTTGTAAATGTTTTTGCACTTCACCAAAAAAAAATAAATGAGTATTATAACAATATCTAGTCTTATGAAATAATTTTCCTTGTAGATTCAGAAGAAACTTTCTACTAAATTTGTTGAGAAGAAATGTAATATATTTTGAGTAGCACTTTAGATGTCTGACAAAAGACCAGACCTTTTTTGGAAGTTCAGGTGGTTAGAAATGCACCATGCTAAGCTTTGCGAACAGTCAGTGTGTAAGGCACCAGGAGACCAAAGGCTCTGAAGCAGCGATCCATTCTTGGCTCTTCTGTATTTCCTCTGGTTTTAAACACCCTCATTCTTCTAAGCAGAACACAAATAGTTGTTCATTTGATTTCTCCTTAAACTGACCAAGTTTTCTTGAACTGGCTGTAGTAAGAGTAGTTGGGTGGATTGTTTTTGACATGTAGTGCAACGAGTAAAACCTCAGTTGTATGCTTCTCTGCTTCTGCGTCCCTCAGTGTACCTGCCCTCTACAAAACAGTGTTTGGTTACAGCAAGCATATAGCGTGTACTTTAAAATGCCACAGTGGTCAGTAAAAACATAATCTGAAATGTGTTATTTCATAAAGACTTGGAACTGGTTAAAAATAATGACTGAAGTTCTCCCTCTGATAGACTGAAGCTTAAGATTAGACTTAAACTAGAGTGAAAACTGGATGTAATTCAGTAGAATTTGGTTGAAGTTTATAAAGACTCCAAAGGGAATCAAAATTAATTGAATTACTGACTGCCTGAAGTGTAAAGAACTTCAGTATCAGATGAGTGTTGATAACCTATTTTGCTGCCCCATGTTTCAAGAGGCTAGTATAATCCTTGAAAGCAAAGTAGTCTACATTAAATAGTATCTGAAAAGTCCTTATCAGTTGCCAGAAGCGCTAGACTGAAATGTATTTTCAGCAACTGCAGTTGTCAGGCATTTCTCTAACGCAAAAGGGGAACGAACACTGAAGAGTTTAAGCTTTGCTTTGACGCACTTCAAATTGAGGAGGGTTTTGAGGTTCCTGAAGAGGTGTACAAGAAACCCTTAGGAAAATCCCATTAATGCCTCTAATGTAGCCTCAAATTTAGATCAAATTGTTAAATGCTGAGGTCTAATGTGAAATATGGAATGCTATGAACTTAGCCCTCTAATGCTCTAGTTATTATTTTTTATTAATAAAAAATCCCAGCACCAAGAGACAAATCAGTTTGCAACTGAACAGGCTTCACCTTAAATGGCTTAAAAAAGGTTAATAAAGCCTTATGATATATGGCAAAGTAGGCAGTTATTATTGACTATAAAAACTTAAATAAATAAATAAATAAATGCAGATCTAAATTTACTTGTTGAAAGTCAGTGCTGCATAAGACAACAGGAATAGAAAACCAGAACTTTTAATTCCAGTCTGCGTGACAGCCTGTGTACTATGGTCACTCATGGCACAGTCACCATCAACAGACGGGAAATCTCTTTACTGCACAGCACTACACTACTATGGCTCACTCACAGTTCAGCATTTACCACGACCACTGCAGTCACTTCAGGAGCTCTCTGGATCAGCCTCTCAAATGTGAAATCTTTTTTAAATGTACAAAAAAAATTAATAAATAGGGTGCATTCAAACTTTGGCCAGAGCCATTAACAAGATTTTTTCTTCAGTAGGTGTTACCACAAAACAGACACATATTTTCATTTTTTAGTGATAACTAATTTGTTAACAATATCTGCACGTACTGTACAATGTGTAACATTTTCACTTACAAACTCTTCATTTTCAAAGGATGGATGTTGAAACAACTTTAAATGCCTACTAACCTTTGCCAGGTCTACCAAAGTGTTGGCTTGGTCATTCAGCTTCCTTTGTTCCATTTTTACACTTCTTAATCTAAAAAGTGGAATTTTAAGTCAGATTCTTTTGTATCCATGGTCACATGATTTCTAAAAAGCATGCACAAAACTTACAAGAGCAAATAACTGCATGGACAATGCCTTGAGTACTTTGTGTAAAGTCAGAATCGGTCATGTGCCTGCTACAATGAGAAGCATGCTTCTTCAACACCGCAAAAAAAGGAAAGAGCAAGGAAATGTGATGTCCTGGAGAATACCATTTGCCATGGTCAAAGTTGAATTCAAAAAGGGAGATAACAATTTATCCAGACTATATGAAAGAAAGCCAAAACATTCCTCGAAGCCTCAGTATCGTGACAAGTAGATATAGGAAGAAACATAGAACAAATATTTTTTGTCATTAATGTAGCAATCAAGAATCTTCCCATGCCTACATGACTAGATACAGGTATTAGCCCTGTTCTGTCCGAAATGGATTGGGTTAGCAGGTGTTTGAACCTGATGGAAATACAGTGATAAGTGAGTTTCTCATTACTTTAAACAGAACTTCCATCTGACCAGCAGCTAAATAACCAACATACTTGCCAGTACATTTAATTTTTCTATCTAATTTGTGAATCTAAACATGATTAGATTTTAACTTACATTAGACATTCATTTTCAATGTGCTTTTTAAACTAGAGCATTGAAAAACTATGAAAGAAGCAGCAAGGGTATATTTTTCTCTTTGATGCCTACCTATCTGCATTATTATTAGTTATGCACATTCTTTGAAAGATATATACATCTCCTTTCTTATGTGTTCCCTGAAACAAAGTCCATGTTCTTCAGATTAACCACTAGAGGAGTGGCTGTAGATGTGATTTTTACAAATCAGCAATTTCTCCCTTAAGTACGAGTAAGTTGTTCAGCATTTCCCAACAGAGAATTATTTGGACTTTCAATGACTTTTCTGGTGGTTGTTCTAAGCATGAAAGAACATTTTTAAAAAACAACACATCAATTTACAAACAATGTGTGACAAGGTATCATGCAGTCTACTTGTATGTCAAGGGCCAACCAAGCTAACCATTTGGTTAGCTGTCAGATGAAAATAAGTTTGGCAGGATTTTGTGCCAGATGGGTTGCTAATGGATGCTCTACCTATTTCTCACTGATAGTGTTACTTAGAAAGTTAAAGAAAGCCTTCTTGGAGATATTCCAAAATCAGGAGGTTTCTGTTCAGATCTTTAGTTACCTAGCATTTCCTTTCATACCTAGGCTAAATACCATGAGAAAATCAGTTGTGAAGAGTGAAATATCTTTTAAAACACATGTAAATAATTCTGTTAAGTTAGAAATCAATTTTTCACATTAAATTGACATTACAGTGGCTTGTTACTGGAATGCCACATGATCTTCCTCCTCTGGGGGCTTCCTTCAGCGCACAACATAAATGCAGACTGTAGGAACGGTGCTTTCAGAGGCTATGAGCTGGAGCTATTCTAAAGCAAAAAATATGGAGAAGTCTCCAAGGTATGGAGTTATATCATTACAGTCTCAGAACAGAATAATTACTCAGAGGTAACCATGTAACAATTTGGCCGTATGGTGCTAACCCTAATGTTCTGGTGAGCAACTCAAATAACTTGCAGAAGATATGTTTTCCGTTTTTCTTAAGATTGACTCATCTGTTTGCCAGTTAGTAATTTAATTTTAAAAAGTCCAAGAAATCCATTGTTATTGTAGCAATAAAAGTACCAGCTGACACCAGCATGATAATTCCTCATGTTAACTAACCCAATACCTGTCACAGACTGTAAAAATGTATCTCTAGGTAATGGCAAGTCTTTAGCTGCAGCAGCCGGATTTAAAGAAAACTGTCAGACTTTCATTCTTAAATTCAGTAAGAGAAAATATGAAACACCCTGATTTTATGAACTTCACTTATCACAGCAAAAGATCATGATTCTGGATCGCGTTTCCATGGCAGCAATCAGACCACTGAAGTTCACAGATAAAGACTCTATTTTTTGCATGCAGACAGTGGTAAACTCTGCAAATTTAGAAAGGAACAGCTCATACAACTTACTTCCGAGCTCTATTTTCATTTTGTTGAAATAAAAAGAAAAAAACAAAAGAAAACAAACTGTAAAATATACTAAAACAACCAAATGAGCACAGCGGGCTTGACTCAGCAGGTGAGAAGTCCTAGGGAGTTGCTACTTCTTTCAATCTAACTGCCTGTAGTGCAGTCTAACTCACTTGCATTCACGATGAAGGAACCTGCAATAGCTTCAAACCTTCCCATTAACTATCGTCTGTTGATCTTCTTATTTATACAATACATCAAAAACCTTTTAATAGTATCATTTAGAGTCATGTTTTCACCTTCATCTTATTTAGTGTGCACGAGAAGCAAAAAAAGACCCAGAACAGCTGAAGGCAGTTTTAAAGCGGTGACTGTGAGTTTGAGATTGTTATCATGATCTAAGCTGGTTTCTCATATAAAACTGGCCCTGAAACATCACTCCTTTTATTTCTGTCTCCAGTGAAATGGTTGGAAAGGTGAAGGAAGGGGAACAATAAAAACCCAAGAATCCAGAAAGATGGAAAAGAGCCGTACACTACAATAAGTCCCGTGAGAAAACTCAAAAGATGCAAAGGGAGAAAAAATAATTTGCACCCATCTACTCAGCTACAGGTGGAAGAAAGCAAACTGCTAGGGCAATGTTTTCATCCATGGCACATTCTTCAACATATTGAGAAAATAGTCCTTTTTTTTTTTTTCTTCTTAAACATAAAAGTTTTGGGAATGGGATGCAAAGTGCTAAAGGACAGAGGGAGATGCATTGTTAACATAGCTATTCAAAGTTCAGTTGGCACAGGTAGCAGAAAATTACTGCTGCCACCTTCTTCACTCCACCTCATTAGTGAATTTTTAAGGCAGTTGCAGAACACCACTTTACACCCTGTGAAGCTCTGCTAGGCTTGAATGACATATAAAGCTGCAGATTGAGCCTGCTGTGCTTTTTAGCTTCTTCTCTGAACATGTATGCGCATACACACAGACACACACAAAATAAACAGCAAAGTTAAAAAGTTAAGGAATAACCTTTGCAATTAAGGATTCATGTCCAACAAAGGATGCAGTGGACATGCCATCTGCTACTCCAGAAGCCCTGCCACTCCTCTCTGCCTCCCAATCCTTTTGAGCTAAGCAGGATGACCAAACTGGGAAAATATACTTTTTACATCCACATTAAAAATGCCTTGACTTTTATAATCTTTTCATTCCTTCAAGTATTTCTGCAATAGTACAGTAACACTTAATAATGTAAGACTCCTAAATATAATACGGTAATCAAGGTTTATAGAATACTTCATACCTTAATCTTAGATACTCATTGCTTTAAAACACTGCTATGAAACAGAGAAACAATGACTGTTAGCGTAAATTTACTAACAGAAAATATGATAACCTGGCCTTTTCTTCCTGTCTTTCCTGCCAGATGACATGACACATATGTGTTCTTTTCTTGATGGATGCTTCTCTCACATCTCCTCACAGGCTGGCTCGCACACAGACCCACACTTCAAAGTTATCAAAAAATTAGTTTGAAAATAAATTTACTTAATTTATTTACATCTCCTGGGACCTGGGAGTGCTGGTGGACGACAAGTTGACCATGAGCCAGCAGTGTGCCCTGGCTGCCAAGAAGGCCAATGGGATCCTGGGGTGCATTAAGAAGAGTGTGGCCAGAAGGTCGAGGGAGGTTCTCCTTCCCCTCTACTCTGCCCTAGTGAGGCCTCATCTGGAGTACTGTGTCCAGTTCTGGGCTCCCCAGTTCAAGAAAGATGAGGAATTACTGGAGAGAGTCCAGTGGAGGGCTACAAAGGTGATCAGAGGACTGGAGCATCTCTCCTACAAGCAAAGGCTGAGGGAGCTGGGCTTGTTCAGCCTGAAGAAGAGAAGGCTGTGACGGGATCTTCTAAATGCTTACCAGTACCTTAAGGGTGGGTGTCAGGAGGATGGGGCCAGACTCTTTTCAGTGGTGCCCAGCGACAGGACAAGGGGCAATGGGCACAAACTGAAGCATAGGAAGTTCCAGCTGAACATGAGGTAGAGCTGCTTTACTTTGAGGGTGACAGGGCACTGGAACAGGTTGCCCAGAGGGGTTCTGGATTCTCCTTCTCTGGAGATATTCAAAACCCTCCTGGATGAGGTCCTGTGCAACCTGCTCGAGGTGACCCTGCTTTAGCAACGGGGTTGGACTAGATGATCCCTAGAGCTCCTTTCTGACCCCTACCATTCTGTGATTCTGTCATCTCCCCAGTATCTCATGGGAACTAATTTCATAGGCTGTACAAACGGCTGCCCCAGGCTGGATGGGGACATCAAACAGCACAGACAAAAAGTGGCATGGGTGCTGGCATAGGTTCCTTGGGACAAAAGTCTTGTTTTTTCTCCCATGTAGTCCAAGGAAGAGCAGCTGAATCATTGTGCAGTTCTGCTTGTTTTGATGTACTTTCTGACAAATACATATTACGAATTTTAGATAAACACTTGTAGTCTGGCAGTACTATAATTTAGTTTAATCCCACTACTGGTTACTGTTGCCAGGCTTGTTTTCAACCCCTTAAGATTTCAGTAGAGAGGAAAAACTCATTTGAATCATGCCAGAGGTGCTCAAAGGTCACACAACGACTGTTGGCGTATACTCTCATTTTCTAGAGCAGATGTCAGGGGTCATAGCTGACACAGCAACATTTGATTTTATGCACTGAGATTATATGGTGGAGAGAGGTAACTAATTGCTGTTGGCCTGTAAAATGATGCTTGATGCATATTCTTTTCATTAAACACTACATACATATTCACTGGCTCTATGCTATCACATCATTCTGATTTTACATTATTAAAACATCTACTACAAAGGAAACTTTTTTCATTTTCTTCTGTGTATTATAGCATGTATCTTACTACCTGTAAGCAAATACATAACAACAAAGGATAGCCTTAGTGGCAAAAAACCAAAAAAAGTCTTAGCTAATCCATGAAGCATGGGAAACTCCTAAATATATATATATATATTACTCTTAGAGAAAAATCAACCTCAACAACAATGTTCTGTGAAGGCGGGGTGGAGAGAGAAGGGAGGGGGCAGGATGTGACATGGGGACTAACAGTGACTAGGATATAAAAGTTTGTCCATATTGGACATACACAGACAGCATACTTTTTTATTTTTTGTAAACAGCTAATAAAGTAAAACCTTATCTTTGTCTTACTCTTAGAGAAAAATCAACCTCAACAACAATGTTCTGTGAAGGCGGGGTGGAGAGAGAAGGGAGGGGGCAGGATGTGACATGGGGACTAACAGTGACTAGGAAGGAGAGAAAAACCAAGGGAGAAAACACCTGGAGAGGAAAAGCAAAGCAAAATAGTACTTACTGATGAATAGCTTGCAAGAATTTGCGTTGATGTTTCCTTACTTTCGCGTGGTCTATCTTTTTAACCAGCTTTGTGTTTTTATAAATTAACCATGTTTCCCTGAGTACATTGGCCGCTGCATTTTTCACCTGTTTAACAAAAGAAAAACACCAGGCTGACAAAAGTAGCATTATGTCATGTTTTCTGGTATAAACTCTTTCTAGAGTCCTTACGACCATGCCTAACTGTGGGAAGTGGGTACCTCAAGAAGCTAGAGCACCAAGGGCAGAAAGCAATAACTGGACCAAGAGGACTGCTGAGCAATTTCTGTGTTAATTACAAACTTGATAATGGGAATAGCTCTCTTTGTATTGGCGATAATTTGTTCCTCTTTAAAGAGTTAGCACTGTTTGATGTCTATGGCAACACAAATTACAGTGAGGAAATACTAATGCATTATCTGTATGTTAATTAACTAAATGTGTTTAACAGGATTATAGTATTTCTCTATTTCTTGTTCTGTGGTTAGTATCTCTTAATTCTCTTAGAAATTTAAGTCTCTTAAATTTCCAAAGCTGTTTGAACATACTTTTCTTCTTTTTTTGTTTACATCTTTATTCTTGTTTCTTTGTCACCATTCCCTGGGGAGATGAAAAGATATCTTGTCAATTAATGTGGCCATCTTGTCAATTAATGTGGCCAGTGTTCTATTTCATAAGCACTTTGAATTTTTTTTTGAATGAGGCTTTCCATAAAATGTTAAAAGTAAGAGTACCTACAGTTCCTTCTTAGGCCCTCCAAAATTTTCAAGAATGCTTAAAAATAACAGACAAAGAATTTCAATGCAATGTTGATTAATGACAGAATAACTGGGTTATTCACAAAGGAAAACTGTCCTCATTATTAAACTTTATTTTCTCTCCCTCTGACTTTACATCATGCCAGTCACTGCAGTGTCAGAGCTACATCAACGTCTAGGTAAAGGCCTTGCAGGAATTCCATGCAGTAGCTCTTCCCAGCGAGACGTCCCCACCTGGTACCCGCTGAAGTGTTGGAGAACCCTCGTCCTGACTTCAGCAGAAGCACAACCACATTTTAGAGACCTCCTCACAATCTGTATACAGTCCTTGCATTTCCACAACGTATGGCTATCTTCAGGCTGCTAGGAAACCTCTCTGGTACCTGCGTAACTGATTTGTGACCTGATGGGCATCTCAGATTTGCTTGCTTCGTTAGCTTTTTACATGCTTTGAGTGTCATGAGTTTGAAGCTACCAAAGCACCACTTGGATACAGTATGAGGCTGATACTTAGATTTATAGGAAGGATACCTGAAGACAGGAAACTTTAAAAGGCACAAATGAACACAAATGAACACCAGACTCAAAATCTGTCCAGTATTTACAAAACCTTTTTACCTCATGAAAGATATTTTGAGCTCAGCTGTCAGATTACAGCAGAAAATCTCCTGTGTTAGGGAGGGACAAATTGCTGTCTGTGGTCTAGTATCAACAAGACCTTTACTGACTATAACAGGACGGTAAATCAATGAACTCAGATAGACACCTCAAGTCAGACACCCTTCATACCTACATAAGAACTATCTTCTCACTCGCCCTTAGTCTTTCGCCACCGTGACTGCTTAGGGGAGACAGCAGCTGTTAGCAGCGACGGGCATGGAAGCGAGGGATCCAGCCCAACGGGAGTGGCGTGCTGCCGCGTCCTGGAAACGCGGCATGCAGAGACGCGACGCGGCTCTCCGCAGCAGCAGGGCCGCATGGGGCTGTGCTGAGGCCGCCAACCTCCCTGCCGCCTAGAGCAGAGACATCGCTTCCAGCTCAGGCATCGGCATCCCTCGCTGCCCATTAGCAAGGACAAGCTCTGCTGAGTTGATGTCAGGAGTGTAAGGACCTTCCTCTCTGTATTGGCTCTTCTCAGTAACAAAGATCAAACAAGTTGAGAGGATTGTGTAGCTCCTACTCGTTTTCTTGTTCCCTCGATGCTGTCCTGTTTTATTTCAATAAAGGATTTCCATTGCATCGTTTACTGCATTCTTTCATTTTCCAAGATGTTATTGTAACTTAAACTATATTTCATACGGAAAATTTTAAAATATTTTTACAAATTCTAATGATTTCTAGCGGGTTTTTTTTATATAATCTCTTCCAAAAATACTATTCTTTACAAACATCTTTCAAGGCACTTCACTACTGTGTGCCGCTAAATTAACCCTATGTTGAGTACACAAAGCAATTGCAAAGACTGTCTCACTCACAAACTATGAACATGTCTTTTTCTTAAGAATGTCCTTCATATCTTGAAATTCTTGTATATACCAGTTATTTTACCTATTGTAGCTACAAAAATTTTGTATATTCTTCTCATACGCTGCATGGAAGTTTTTTAGTTTAATATAATAATCTTTAGTTCACAGTATTTAACTGCTGGTTATACCACCTATCTTCCAGCTGCAAGGACCATGTATAGTGCCCTCAAATCCTCCAAATCTGCTGAGAATTGGAGTCGTCCTCAATTCAGAGAAAAGCTCACGGCATTCAATTCCTTCTGCTTGCAAAATCACACCCCTGAAAAAGTTCACTAGGAGAACAGAGCTGGACACTATTTAAAACAAATGCAGAAATAAATAAAAACACATTTCCTTTTCAGTTGTGAATATGAAGCATGACTTACTCTTTTAGTTAGCTGGGTGTCCATCATGAAATTATGCACATGTTTTTCAGCTTTGGTAAGTTCTAACTTCCTTGCCACCACAGCTACCACCAGTGCAGTGCACCCAGCACCCTGAAAACAACAAAACAAATCCCCCGAGATGTTACGACTGCATTTTGCAGAGTTTTTAGTGGAAGTTTCTCCTTTGATGTAGAAGTATGGCAGGCATCATGTGATTCATCCCTGGTAAAAGAGTGAACACACTACAGCTATTTCAGTTCAGAGTAATAGGAAAAGTCAGTAATTACAGGCTGGCAAACTGTCAAGGTATCAAGATCATTAGTAGTAGCATAATTTAGAAGTTCTGCTATTTCTCCTGGAGAGGTTGAAAATTTGAACATGTCCCATTTCTAGTGCATAAACAAAGGGGGTGAACAAAACAACTTTTAAAACCCGCAATATGAGTAAATAAATGCAGAATATCCTGTTCTTAACATGTGTCTCAAGGTTACAGCAATTGCTAAGGAGGAAATAAGATTAGATTAGTGTTTAGCATACAAAAAAAGAAAAGTTTCTTAGGATTTTCTGTAGGGCCTAAAAATAATCATAAATTTAGCATTAATCATTTTACTTCAATTTACTTAACGTAAATTTAGCGTATACTTTAGTATACTTCCCTGCTGTTCTCTGAGTCCTTCAACAACCTTTTCCTACAGTAAATGTGCCTATCTTATTACCATTTAAATTAGCACACACACACAAGACCATTTCTTCAAAACTTGGATGAAGAAAATATCAATTTTCTAAGCTGTGCTGTGTATATGTATGCATGCCCACGTATATACACCGACATGCACGTTCACAACAGGCCAAACCCACAGGTGCCTGTGCCTCTGAAATGATGGTGGCTTTAACAGCATCACAAATTTAAATGTTTTTTGGACGGAGGGAGAGGAAAGGAAGTTAAAATGAGCCAGGTAATGAGAAACAGCATCTATTATACACATCTGGAGGTATTATTTACTTTACACTACTAATAAATTCTGCTGCCTTAGTGTTTTTTTAAACAAAATCATTACAGGTTCTTTTTTAAAAAGTACAAAAATCATCTTAAATACATGATGCTTCCTTTAACTTGCAGGTTCACCCCAATCTACTCATTATTGCAGCTGTGTCAGTTACTCTCCAGTACACAGAAATCTCTTGTTGCATGTTGAAGCTTACCACATTTTCATTTGCAGAGCCTTCTTCCACTATTTCTGTATTTCTCCCATTAATTTAGTCTCTCTCCATTCCCCACCTCTATAACTGCCTTACTCTCTCCAGAAAACCCAGAAGAAAATTTCCGAATCCAGCTTCCAAAATACAAATTCCATTAATAAACACACAGAGACCGAAAAATAAATTAACTCATTGGAAACCCTTACTCACAGTGTCCTCAAAAAAATTAATCTGCTCTCTCTGCTTACTTACCAAGGCACTCAATGAATTTTGTGAAAGTCTCCAATTAATTAATTTTCCATTCCCCTGGTAGATTGTTCCAAGAAATCCACCTGCTCCCTCACAAACACCTAATTCTCTGCAATTAGTTCTGACCCATCAAAGCTTCTATCCCCAATAGCTCTCAACGTTCCCTTGAATGAGTCCCTTGCAATTTTGCTGCATTTGCTGCTTCTCCTGTCCCCAGTAGTAAGCTTCCTAGCTTTGCTGTTCCCTGTCCCTCTGTTCTCCAGCCCTGTGTCCATAGAAATTGATGGAAATTTACTTGAGGTCTTGCTCTCTGCATGAGATGAGTCCAAAGGGGGCTATAAGTGCCTCTGCCTCTCCAGATCCCACTAAGAGTTAAAAAGGAGGAAGACAGCCAGTGAAGCTTAAGGCTGAGCTCTTCAGTAAGGCACCGAGACTTCTGAGAAGAGGACTGGGCTAGAAATGCTCTATGGTATGCCCTACCTCCCCAGAAAACAGAGAGCTCTCCTTTGGTCACCTTCCTGTGAAGGAGGGCAGGAGGGAAGTGCTAATATACAGAAAAATATTCTCTGCAGGCAAATAAATAAATAAATTACCCCATACAATAGCAAGAACACAAAGAGAAAAGCAGATATCTTTTGGCCCAGTATGTCAGGATAACTGGGGCCAGATGCTGATTTAATGGCAAAACTTGCTTATAGCAAGAATGCTAAAATGGAACAAGATTATTAATACAGATACCACTGACAGTGGCACAAACCAGCTGTTTATGTCAAGCTACCAGGAGACAGAAATATTAGATTCCCCTTTCCAGCACCCCCAAAAAGGCTAGAGGAGTGGTGACAGACAAAAGTAACTTGGTTTGAGCTGAAACTATTCCAGCCTTCACAATTGACTCAGGCTTTTTCACAGTGGCACAGCAGTTACAAGGGCCAAACGCTCTTTAAGAACAGTAGCTTTATATCTCACATGAAAGACACTGCCTGCAGCAGCAGAGTGCTGTCACTGGCAAGCTATGACAACCACCTCTGTGGTGTACATGCACTGCAATCTTCTTATCTCCAGAACAGCTTACTGCAACGTTCAGGTATTTTATATTCAGGTTACCGCTCTTGGCTTTGCAGGATATGATGAGATCTTGGGACATGCAACCAAGATCTTTTAGCATTTCTGCAAAAGAAGGAAGCATTATACTATCTGCATGTTTACATTTTGCGGTACTTTGAAGGAAAACAAGTCATGCTCATTCCTTAAACCACTAACAGCTTAAAGAAGTAAGACTGAAATTCCACTTGAAGTACAAGATGCTAATCAATTTTTATGTTACAGTGCTCTGCACTGTTATATGGCTCCCCTAAAGATCTCAGCATCCTTCAAATACTAATAAAGTGAGAATTATTCCAAATAGCAGAAATTAAGTAGAGGCAGTACAGTTACTTTAAAGAAGTAGCATCATACTTGCCATGTTTATGAATATCCTGATTCATGTGACAATCAGCAATATGAATTCAATGAATTCATGCTCATGTGCTCAGGGTTTTTTTCTTATATCAGTAATACATAATACAGCAGCAACTTTTTTATTAAAATTACTTAGGCTAAGTAAAAGCACCACAATAATTATTTCAACTGCAAGAAGGGCTCTTTTGAGAATAAAATTCTGAAAGCCCCTATATTTGATTACTGCATTTTACAATTTCCAACATAATTCTTTTTATCCTGTTACGAAGTAAATAATAAACTAAATCACTGCTTCAAGCTCTTGTTTAACTTTCTGGGGAATTATATATCATACAAAGGAAATGAAAAAGGCAGGAATGTATATACTTTAAAGTACCAAGACAGTAATTACTTCTATTTGAAATTTGCACTCCTCAGTCAGCTCCCTGTCTGCCTCTTGCATTACAGAGTTATTGCAGCGTATTTTGGCTTGGTAAGCAGCCTGATTTTAAGGGCACATAGGACTTGTGTGTGAAAATTTGAGGAAAAAGAGAATGAAAGAATATTCACAACATTCCCTTATCAGTCCACTGCAGCTTTAGCTAGAGAGATACATATCTGAAAGCTAGCAACTTCCACCCCATTGAACAGTCCATTCAAGGTGTGTCTAAAATAAAAGATGAAAAGGCAAGCGTTACATTTCAAAGAATTAACATGCATCAGTTTGCACTAGTTAGTATATGCTTATAACTATGCACATCAGAACTACAAGGTCTGACTTAAGAAAGGGAAGAAATGGCCACAAACTTCAATTAACTCATGCTGACTATTCAGATCATCAGTGATTTTAGGTAAATTTGAAAAACAGACAATTCAGCTTTCACAGCTTCTCAACATTGCAGAATTCTTTTTCTATGCAGAAATGTTTTGTATATGTTCACATGAAATGAAGCATTAAACAGTTACAAGCTGCATTGACAATTTAGACATAGCTGTTAAAAAACCTGGGCACAAATTATTACAACACATACAGTGTAAGCAACTTCGGCAAGTCAAAGTTAAAGGTTGAGTATATTGCTCATTTGCTGCATAATGGAAACAGGTAGTAACAGAATTAACCACCCATTAATTTGATTTCGTTCCATTACTGTATGATCAAGGGTTTGCCAGCAATCACCAGTTTCAAAAGCTGATGTACCTGAATTTTTCTGTTTTCCAGAAAGCACGTACAGGCTGAATAAACTTATCTACTAAGCCCAGAGACGCCCTTAAAGTTATCACAGATTTAAAAATAGGCTTCTCTAAAACAACAAGGCCGGACTCTGCTAATGAGCTGAGCAATGCCTGTTTCCTATTTGCAAGGATCTGAAGAGGAAACACATGAAACCTCACCCTGAATGCACAGTATTTCTTGCTTAATATGAAATGGTGCGTATTAGTCTACAGTAAAAGCAAGAAGTCTGAAAAAAAACATCCTCACACTTTCAGTTGGGCAAAGCAACAAACACTAGGCTGCACAGTGCTGGCACAGTGGCATCAGATCTCTGATGGTGATGTAAAACTTGAATTTGTGAGCAGTACAGTCTTGAAGCATAAGTTTTACAGCCATTTGCAGTGGACAGAACTTGCCTTGACTGTCAGTCTGCTTAGCTGCTGTCCTGCATGAAAACAGTTTGATGTACCTGCAAACAACTTTTGGACATTCTTCACATCTTTAATTCTAAACAAGCTGCTCCTGTTCAGGACAAAGAATGATGCCTTAAGTTCAAATGCTTATGCAGGTAACCAATAGTCCATGAAAGGCCTCCTTTGGTATCCTCTTTGATGCCTAGAATCCAAAGTAAGTCACACTGATAGAAATATTTGACTCACATATGTACTTAGGTACTTGCTAAGCACTAGTAGGTTAACTGTTTTCTCAGTTACAGAAGCCTAAATGATGACTGATGTTCTTAAGAAAAATGAAAGAACAGACTAGGTTGAAGGAAAAAAAAATATTTCAACTGGCATTGGCTTTCTGACACCAAGCCCATGCTATGTGAAAAGAGAAAGAGAAGAATGGTGAATTCACTGTATTTTAAGTTATACTTTAAATTTAGCAAACAAACAAAATGCTTAAACATGCCCTTCAGAACAAAATAACTATTACTTGGTGTTATCTTTAGCTTTATCCCTAGGCATCATAAAGTGCAACTTTCCCTATCTGTCCACACAGTCTCTCCTAT